AAAACTTATCTGATAATCCTATACTACTACCACCGAGCGTTTAAACGGCAGCAGCGGAGCGACGCGCAGCGTGGATGATCTTCGATTGGTGTGTGCTTGTATGAGGGTCGGCACTCAGCTGAACACACGATGATAGATGAGCGGTGTAAATGCGGAGGCAGATGCTGACACTCGATGACGATGATCCGTGTGCAGGTATGCGTTACCACGCACCGATGGTGCGCAAAATGGTTGGCGAATTGGCAATCGTAAAAACAATTTTCCTTCCGATGATGCCGAAAACACACTTTCTTCTCAGAAAAAAACTCACTTTTAGTTAATTATTTAGCTGGGAACTCTAAGCGAGAAAAAACTGACAATTTAAATCAAGCGAATAGCGAGAAAACTTCCAAAATAGCGGAGCGCGAACTAAGTCGACCGTACTTCTTGCTAGGACGCAGTGAGTTTTGAACAGAAATATTTGTTTCTGATGATCGAACAGCATCAAAAAGGAGAGTTCACTTTATGAATTGTTCGAGAACGGTTGTGTGTTTTTGCTCGCCGCGGGCTTTTATTTTATCTTATTTATTTTTTGCTCGGGCTGCCTTTGTGATGTCGTGTAGTTTTTCGGTGCTCGCATTTGGATAGTTTTGTGTCCCGGGCGCGATAATTTGATTTGAAATGGTTTGTGCTAATGTTTTCCCCCTGTTTCTAAGGTGCTTGGTATGCTCTTGCTTCCCTTTGTTGCCGGTGTTACTCGACCGCGCTGATCTATTGTTAGGTTTTTGCGATGTGCATTGATTTTGTGCACAGAGTGACATGAAAAAGAAAAGCGATATTTAGTTATTGTGTGGTTGGAATCGCTGGAGGAGGAATTGTTTAAACATGACTAGAGAAAAATATGCGTGGAAGCATCGGGAAGGCGCTCCCGAGTGTAAAGGCCGGCGCACAATAGATACGTTTTCGGGTTTTTTGACAGATAATGCATGGGTTAACTGTCAAAAAACCCGAAAACGTATCTATTGTGCGCCGGCCTTAATGATTTGGTGAGTACGTTCCAGTTGACGATTGTTGAAAAGTGTATTTGTGGTGATGCAAACTATGGTTTTGATGACGCATTGCTTCTCTTTCTAAGAAAACGATATGCAATGGAATGATCTTTGTGTCGAGTCAACACTCAGCTTGATTTTTGCACGTTATGAATAGTCTCGCAATATCAAAGGAGCTTGTAAAATCAATATCAAGCATGATATTTTGTTCCAATATCACGCGTGATATTGCGAGCGCATGAGAGCGGAAAAATATCAATTGATTTCTGATTTTGCCAACACTGATCTTTACTTTCATTGGTATAATTGAGAGGGCGCCTATTAAATGGAGCAAATGTTTTTAAATACATCAGAACATACACAGTTAGAAAATTTGATGTAAATTTAGGTGCTCTGAGACTGACATATGCGAGCGTAAATTTTGACATAAAATTGAGTCATAATATACGTGAAATTCAGCTCAATCAAACGTATTTTCATTATTTTTAGTCTCGGAGCACTTAATTTTACATGACATGTTTGTTTACGTCTTATCCTTTATGTCAAAGATGGATGTCGTCACGTGTAAGATTAGGTATTTCTATGTGTATACCAACTCGCCAAGATGAGAAACATGAGATGAGAAGTTATTTCAGTTTGAAGCTTTACGTCCATTTATATGAGTGAGGGGGTGGAGTATAGTAAGTCCCCCCCCCTTCCTCTCTAATTATGCTTATGAGATTGAGAAATTGTTTTTGAATAATTCATCTGAATATGCTAAATCGATAAGATAAGAAACTCCGAACACTTAGAAATAACGATTATTACACGGGACGTAATTCATGGAACGTAAACAAACATGTCATGTAAAATTAAGTGCCTGAAACTGAAACATATGCAACTCGACGAAAAGTGCGTTTGATTGAATCGATTTTCTCTTCCTTTTAAACTGATTCTTATGTCAAAAGGGCCGCTTGCATGTGTCGGTCTCAGGGCACTGAAATTTACATGACTTTTTTTTTGTAGTGTGTATTTCAGTATGAAACTTTTATTCTATTGATATGAGTGAGGGAGGCGTGGATAGGTGTAGTAACTCCCCCCTCCCTCCCTCTCCCCCTATCCAACTACGCATATCAGATAGATTTATTGTTTTGAATGATTCATCTGAACATACCAAACCGATAAAATAATCAAATTCGAAATTATTTCAGTTTGAAGTCATGGAGTGACATTGGTACACCGGCAGTGTTGGCAGGCAAATTGATTTTTTTGGCATTTAATTAAAAACTTTGATCTTTGAACAGCTATAACTTTTTTAGAGGCATTCTAGCACCGTATATTTTCACTTGATTAGAAGCATGATCAACGGCGCCGGTGGTGTAGTGGTAAGCGTGATTACCTCTCACCCCAACAGGCCTGGGTTCAATCCCAGTCGGCGCCGCCGGGATGTTCTGAGGCATAACATCTCTGATCACGCCTTCCTTCGGATGGGAAGTAAAGCCGTTGGTCTCCGGTTCATGAGTTGATGGGTCGATAGGTAGGGTCCAGGTGTGGGAGCTGCCTTTCTGGCACGTCGGTAGCATTGGTGCTCAGCACGGAAAACAAGATCGACGGAAAAAACAAACCAAAGGAAAAAAAAAATAGAAGCATGGTTCAAGCAAAATTGTGGTCCCTAGGAATAAACGTGCAAAAAAGGAAATTTTCCATACTAATTTCCGAACAAATTTCAAACGCATTGCGGAAAGCTGGGTTACAACCAATCGTTCCCAAATTTTGCACAGTTGTTTGGGACCATAAATTGAACCAAAAAAAAAAACATTGAACTAAAAAAAATGACCATGATGACTCATCTTAATAAGTATGTAAGCGTATAGGTAGGATAAAACCACAATAATTCTATCGAACAATACCCAGACAACCAGAAAGCACGTATATTCAAAGTTGTTTTAGTGATATACAAACATATATATAAGCAAACAATTCGTAAAGAATGCAAAGAAATGGCTTATACGTACAAAAGTGGAGGCCAAATGCGTGTATATTTGTATTTAATTTTAAACGAGTTGATGTAACATCATATACGATTTAATCAGTAATAACAAATTCATTTTGAAAAGTCTTACGATGTAATCCAATTTAATTTGTGATACAGTACGACGGAAAAATGAGTCATCGCATATAGGATGGAAATTTGCATTCTATACGATTTAACTTAAACATAATGCGAGGTATGTCATTCTTATATGCAATATTGACTTCAACTGTAGCAATTTACGATACTGTCTGTACATTTTTATACGACTTCTGGTTGTCTGGGTATACAGGAACCCCACGAAGAACACGATGGGTGCTGTCGTCCTCCTCAATTGGTTCTATAACAGTAAAGGAATAGTGGTTGGTGGACAGCACCACCAATCGCACTATTCGAGGGATTTCTGTATAGATTTTATCTGGAAACCACAGGAAGTGCATCCTGTTCAAAAGGAAGAATTTTATTGAATAGCGGAAGATAAAGTGTTTTTTTGTATTGTACCTCTTGAATATAGTTTTAAAATTTATTGTATTTATTTTATAGTATATTGAACAAGTAATCTCGGCACAGTAAGTTCGAGTGATGTCGGACATATGATAAAAATAATATATACATCAGCTCTATTAAATAAAAAAGAATATCGATTTTGCTCCAGTCCGTTCAATCCATTCCAAATCAGGTGCTGATGATTCTCCCAAAATTTGAGTTCATTTGGTTGCGATCTCATACTGCACTGGCTCTTTGAAGTTTATATGTAAACTTTTTGATTACCTCGTAATAATTTTTCACCGTTATGATTTAACGATAAACTTGCTATTTGTACTTATAGAATTTTTTTCAGCTACAACTTTGCTGAAGGCCACATTTTAATTGAACTTCAGGATAATTAGTAAATTATTAATTAATTAGGAAGATGATATACTCCAGCAACTGCTCAGCAGGCAACATTGATGTACTTTGCGTGAAGAATAGGGGGAAAATCATAGTGCAATATGCAGTGTTGCTCTGAAAGTAGTCGATTCATCATATCAGAAAGTGATTGGCTTCGAAAGCCACCAATAACTAATTTTCCTGCCTTTAAATCAAGAAAAGGTCTTCAGCATAGTTGTAGCTGAGAAAATTTCCTATTCATAGGGTAAGATGGGGCAAGATGATTCTACTTGATTGATTTATTTGATGGATGTCAAAATCAACAGGGTCAATAGTTATAACCCCAATGCTGGTATGTCATTGGGATTGCTTTGAACATGTTGAATGCACAAATAAATTTATAAATGTACTAACTGACCCATCTTGTCCATCCTTAAAAAATAAAACACAAAAAAACAATTGTGTTTGTCTACAATCTATTTCCCACTGGCCGGCATTGAAAGCGTGATCAGAATTTTGTTGCCTCAGAAAATCCCGGGATTGAACCCAGGCCCTTTGGGGTATAAGGCAATCACTCTACCCAAGTTTTGAACGAAAAAGAAAGTCGATGAATAGAATCGATCAATGTTACTTTGGACCTAATCCATTGTTCAGCTTGAAATGTGTATTAAATGCATCCTAAAATGTATACTTCCACCAATAATAATGCTGGGATTATTCCTACATGTATACAACATAATTATCATCATGCATAAAGCAGAACACCTAATCTAGAAAAAGAAAACATCAGCAGAGTGGCAAAAGTTCAGCGAAATGATTTCATATCATTCCCCGACTAAACATGACATGGGAGACAATAAGCTCAACTAACTCGTTTCTCGATTTTTTGTGGAACAGGTTGAGAGAGGGAAAACTAAATTATCTTTCTGAATCTTTTACTGCCCTGTTTCGCACATCTCTTTAGGTTTATTCTCATTTCGTTTGCGATTTTTGGGTAACTGAAATGATTCTCTGAAGAACAACGAAAGAACTTTTTTTTTTAAAAGGGAACTTTCCAAACACTGCGAACTAATGATTGATGCATTTCACAGGAAGCCACGAGCATACTGATAGAATCGATCACAATACACGGTGCGCGGTACGAGGTGGACATCATTACCTACGCCAACAATAGAACTGCTCATACATCGAAAATCAACGATTCTCCAATCTGGCGAAGCCCAACAGGTTAGTATCATCATCATGCTATTCACATAAATAAAGCCCCTAGCAAAGTGAATGCGATAAATAATAAAAACTTTTGTCCGCTCGGCTTCTCGCATTAACTCTGCCAGGGGCCTAAGACAAAGTATTAACTATTTAGTTTAGATGGCCATAACATAATTGAAATCTCCTAACCAGTAACGCTGGTAGATCACCTTTTCATGGTGCGTTACTGGTATAAGATCTACCTCCTAACCCTAGTCCTGACAACTTCAAATTAGGGGGACAAGATTTTTCAGTAATCAAAGAAACATATGTTAGTCCTTGTTACTTTTTATACCTTGTCAATAGTGACAAGACTCGAAGAAGTAGTCACAATGTATGTTGAATTGTGAAGTTAATTTAAGTCAAATTTAAAATTTAATTTTTTTTAAAGAAGGGATACTTTTGGATAAGCTTCACTCACTGGGTAAATTGTTCAGCGCTTATCTACTACAGTGCAAGGTAAAAGTGGTTGATCCTGATATTTCTTAATGAACTCGGTGCAAGTTGCGTACCAAACGGACTTGTGCCTAAATCGTATTTTATTAAATATTATGTATGCGCCCGGGAAGAAAAAGAATTTGATGCTTTTTTATCTAGGCTTACAACTCAATCGCGTTAGCTTTACGGAGCCGATAATTCATTGTTCTTTGTTTGTAACAAAATTCATTTATTTCTATGTCTAGTAGGAGTTGGGCCGAATACTCGCGGCTTACCCGAGGTTAGAGAGGTACATTGTCGAAAGATAGGAAAAGGGGAGGAGCTTGGGAGCAGTTTCGTTGTCTCATCAGAGCGATGTCGCCAGTATGAACGGTAGTGTGGTTCTAGATTCGTCTGGAGTTCGACCGGCTATGGTAACCAGTGGGCGACGATAAAACTCATCGAGACGGGGGACAAGACAAACAAAAACTGATAAAGAGATACAAAAGAAAAACGAATTAAATTCTTATATTAGTTATACTTATACTTATTTGCAGATACACATAAATCGACTGCATGTAGCAGAATTTGATGCTTGCAGATAATTTTGCTGTTTATAATGTTATTATCATAGAGGTTCTATGGTGGCTGTTCCCTGTTTACGTGTTTTTATGTGGTTGTGTATATCAGGCTTGGGAATTGTCAACCTCATGACGATAAACTATGTAACAACGACAACAACAAAAAAGTCAACGCTCATCTGACAAGCACGATGCAACAAAATGCTGCATGAAAGACTGATCTACTGGGCTGTCTCTCGACGAAACATTTTCTATTTTTGTCTTTCTCTCATTTGGTCACGAAACATCTGTTGCGTGACGTTTTCCAGAATGACTTAATTGTTTCACGGAAACTGTCGACATGGTTATTGACGAAAAAAGTCTGTCATGTCATTCTTCCATTCTGTCGCGACAAAACTGCCGCTGGTCGTTTTCTAATAAATGGATGTCGCTTGGATGCGAGTAGGAATGGGCGATGTCGATGCGATTTTTACAGAATCGATTTTTTTGCCTCGAAAAATCGATTTTTTTCATCCGATCTTTTTCTGTTCGATGTTTGACAGAATCGATTTTTCAAAGTTGATATCGATTTTTTATAAAGCATTAAAAAAAAACAAAACGCCTAAATTACCAAAGGAGAAAATAAAATCGCCGAACTCTTTTTATGTTGTTGTTGATTCACGGAGAACAAATTCGTTAAGTTAAGATAACAATCCTAATAGTTACTTTCACATGGAAAAATATTGTTGTTTGAAAGAAACCTATAGATATTCCAACATTAATTTGATCGTCAACTCAATAATATCTACCTAAAAGATTCAACTGTTCATCTTATACTCAATTCAACTATAACTTTGATCAATTATAACAACAGTCAAATCGACAGTGAGCATGCATAAGGGCCTATACGCGATGATCGATTCTCTTCGTCGATTTTCTCTTTTGTTAATAACTCGCTAGATTTAACGTTTCTCGGTGCGTTTGCTGTTGCTTTTGATAGCCAATACAACCTGTTACTACTCTGCATTGAACAAATTCTAGAAAATTGTTTCGATTAACTGTAGCAATACAAAGAGAAAATCGATGAAGAGAATCGATCATCGCGTATTCGCCCTTATGCATGCTCACTGTCGAAATGTAATTAAATTGTATAATTTGGTTTCAAATGATCATCATAAATCCACATACTTTTACCTTGTGATGCGTAGAGCCGGCAATAAGCTAGCTAGCTCTCACGCAGATGAACACGGTTCAACTCTTAGTTCACCTTTTTTTTTTATTTTGCAGTTGTGTTTTTGAGATCGATAAAGAAGCAAAACATTAAGGAAGTTTGTCGATAATGAAGAGCAGTTCGTTTAATAAACATTGTAAAATTTTGCTTCCCTAACAATAGTTTTCTTGAATCAACTAAAGCATAGTTGTATTTGGAAGTTTGACGTTTGTCCATCTACTGAAAAATATAGTTGAACCAATCGAGGAGCCAACTATGGACTATAGTTGTTGCCCTCTATATATAGTCAATTCAACTATAGTTTCGGGTTATCTCTAAAACAATTGAACAATATAGTTATTTTGACCGGAAAAATAATTGCGTCTGCTATAATTTGTTCTCCGTGTTATGTTGGATCAAATGTTATCATTGAATTCTTGAAAAAAAAAAGATTAACAAAATGGTATTTCACTATCCCAAAAATATGTTTTTATTTAAAATCAAGCGACTTTAATTTCATCGTCCTCAAATTTTGCTAAACACCCTTTCAATCTTGGGCTTTATTTGTTTGTTACTTTTTATGTTGTGTGTACTTTGGACCCATTCTTTCTAATTCATCCAGCTGATTTTGTTTGCATAAAAAAACACGCACTCCTTGATACAAAAAAACATTGGAAAGGTGAGTTTTAATACCTACACGCTAAGATTATTGAACAGATTTCTGTAAAATTTTACCGAAATCTCAACAGCTGAAAGTTCGGTAAACAATTTCACAGTTTTCCTGTAAGTATTTACAGATATCTGTGAAAAATTCACAGATAATTGTGAAACATTACAGGAAATCTGCGAAACTGTTTACCGAACGTTCAGCTGTTGAGATTTCGGTAAAATTTTACAGATTTCTTTAAAAATTTCTAAGTGTGTACAGAAGATTTTGAAAGCTCAGATATAGAGTTGAAGTTGAATAACACACTTAGAAAAAATCATGTAAATTTAGGTGCTCTGAGCTTGACATATACGAGCGTCAATTTTGACATAAAATTGTGTCATAATAGACGTGAAATTCAACTCAATAAAACGTATTTTTCGTCGAGTAACGAACTTTTCTGTCTCGGAACATTTAATTTTACATTACATGTTTGTTTACGTCTCATTTTTTTTGTCAAAGATGGATTCCGTCACATGTAAAATTAGGTATTTCTAACTGTGAAGCTAAATATTTGCAATATTTCTTAATAATTCGGTTTCAATATTTAAATAGAGTGCAATTGCTTTTGTGAATTGGTTTTATACAAATAAATGCTCGCACACATACTGTTCGCAACAGCGAATAGATTGGTACCACTGCCGTGTATCGATTACACCGCCACCGCTAACCACTCCACGTTTCCGATGTTGGCCGCAGAAATCAGCACAGCAGAAATATTTCCTTATCCTTTTTTCCCTTCCTTGCATTTTGTTTTACTAACCCCGAGAACGCCGCGGGCAAACGGCTTCCCTTACTAACACTAGCAATAAGAACAGAAATAAGTGTAAACATCCAATAAGAATCTAGCTTTTATGACATTGTACACGTTCATTCCGTTTTGCGTAGTAGATTGTTAGACCAATCATCATCGTCATTTAATTTCTCTTTGATTCAAAAAAGTATAAAACCAAGCGAATCACGCATTCACATTGTCAGTCGTTTCCGAATTGCCAAGCAATATAGAGATAAAGTGAAGAAGCTGAAGTTATCCTATCCAAGAAAGAAAATTCCAGTTTTCCCGTCGATTCGATATCGATGCAAGGGGTCCCTGTTACCGTCCTAGTTTTGTCGGTGGTCCTGCTCAGTGGAGTTCCTGTTCCCTCTACTTCCGAAATGGAGAGTTGCTGTTCCCACCGTTGCTTGTTGCCGTCGCTGCTCTAAAAAGAGTTTTACTTTCGCGGTGTTCTTTTAAGAACTACCGATTCCGAGTAAGCGATGTCGGCTCGCAGCTGGTGCAGCTGGAATTTGTCGTCATCTGTTGGCAAGGCCCAACGAGCAGCCGTTTTAGATTCAAGTCAAACATCACGTTGGCAGTCGAGCCAACATAGTGGTCCGTTCCGAACCGGATAAAAGTGCGAAACATACAGTCCACGAGTGAATTGTTTTCCCGTGTCACGGTGGTCAATACGGAAGAAGAAGAACAGTGTACCGAAGAAAAAGTGAATTGTTATAGCTTCCATTGACCTAACCGTGAACATGAACAAACACGTATGAACATGAACAAAGTGAATTGCTAGAACGCAAAAAGAACAAGTTGTGAAGTTTGCTGGATTCCCAGTATCCAAAAAGTGATGTTCCTGTGAAGCAGTAAAGTACGAAGTGCTCCTAACTGGTATCATTTTCCTCGAGAGTTACTCTTCCGAAGTAACAACATCCTTCCTTCGTGATGCCAGTGGATTATACCCCAACCAAACCTGTGAAGTTGACCATGGAGGACATCAAGCCACTCATCCACCAACGTGGTCAGGTAAAGGCCAAGGTCACTGCGATTGCAAGTGCCTTGGAAAGAGCCGAAGACGATCCAACTCAGGTGAGTCTACCCATTCTCAAAGTTTATGCGAAGAAGCTCGAAGCTCATTACAATGAGTACAATAACTTGCACAAGGAAGTTCTTTGTTCCATCCCTCCTAACAAAACTAATGATCAGGATGAAAAGCTGAATGAGTTTGACAAGCTTCACACCGAATCTTTGATTCGGTTGGAGCTTCTGATAGAAATGTTGTCAGTTTCCAAGATTTCCCCTGTTACATCCAATACACCAACT